GCCTAAGCCACGGGCCACCCCAACGGCACTTCCCCTCACGGACAAACTCGTCGACGCCCAGCCCGCGGCCCGACAGAGTCCGAGGACGAGGCGGGCAGTACTCACTGTCCTCTCCAGGGCACGGCATGCCAGGCTGCTCGGGGGTGCTCGGGAACACTGCAGGGGAGGGGGGAGAGGGGGCGGAGAGTTAGCACCAAGTGTCTGTCACAGGTACCGTCTCAGGGGAAGGCGCAGGTTGGGCTGACCACACACGTGCCCAGAGCCCGCGTGGCCGAAGATCCCCTGCTGCTGGGAGATGTGCAGAAAGGCAAAGAGCCCTGGCCGGTGTGGCTCAGTGGATAGAGCGCCGGCCTGCGGACTGAAGGGTCCCAGGTTCGAGTCCCGGTCAAGGGCACAGGCCCGGGTGGCAGGCTCGATCCCCAGTAGGGAGGCGTGCAGGAGGCAGCGGATCTATGATTCTCTCATCATTGATGTTTCTCTCTCCCTCTCCCTTCCTCTCTGAAATCATATTAAAAAAATGTATTTAAAAAAGAAAGGCAAAAACGGGGAACCAAGCACATGTGTGTCCGCCCCAGTCCCTCCTACAGGACCCGGAGGCACGGGCGTCAGGGGCACTAAGTTAGTGCGAGAGGAGGGGCCCACAGTCCCCCTGAAAGTCACCCCTGAAAGCTCACTACACTCCGTGCCTCTGGACTCGGTTCACCGGTAAATACTGCCGCACGGACCCAGGCCTCCCGGTAACTTGTTAAAGCAGAAGCTGAGGAAGCACGGGAACCAGGCTAAAGCAACCTCCCCTTAATCTGGAAAACGGAACGTCTCAGCGCCACGGCTGTGAACGCTGCCGCACACACACGTGCTCGCACCGCAGTGCTAAAGGGGAGCGGGTGGCCCTAGCCGGTTTGGCTCAATGGATAGAGCATCGGCCTGCAGACTCAAGGGTCCCGGGTTCGATTCCAGTCAAGGGCATGTACCTGGGTTGCGGGCACATCCCAGTGGGGAGTGTGCAGGAGGCAGCTGATCGATGTTTCTCTCTCATCGATGTTTCTAATTCTCTATCCCTCTCCCTTCCTCTTTGTAAGAAATCAATAAAATATATATTAAAAAAATAAAGGGGACCAGGTGAACTTCCGTATCTAGGCCACGTTTGTAGAAAAGCTACCAAAACAGGGTATTTTAATCAACCAGCAGTCCAGCGTTAGAGAAAGTGACCCCTGGCAGGAAGCGGTGACTGTTTCACGCTCCCGCCCGCCACGTGGCTGGTTGGCCACGGCTGCCCCAGCCTTGCTCGTGGGCCCACGGACACCCCGCGGAGCTCTGAACATGTGACAAGCCCCAATTCAAAATGAAACCCAACCTTTTAAAATATACATTTTTTTAATTGATTTCAGAGAGGGAGGGAGAGAGATACAAACATCAATGATGAGAGAGAATCACTGATCAGCTGCCTCCTGCGCGCCCCACACTGGGGACTGAGCCTGCAACTGGGCATGAGTCCTACCGGGAATCGAACCGTGACCTCATAGGTCGATGCTCAACCACTGAGCCACACCAGCTGCGCAAAAGCCCAAGTTAAAGACTCCGCTGGATGACAGCGATATTTCGATTTATGCCCCGGCTCTGAGTCTAGCCGGCTGAGGCAAGCTGGGAGCCTGGGAAGCCACAGGGCGGGTCTGTGCGTCCCTGAGCGGTGCTGGGGGATGGTCCCCTGCTCCGCCCGTCCCCCTGCCCGCCCAGTGGGGCACCCAGACCCTCGAGCTCGGGAGACCGGGAGGCAGCTGTGAGCTGGGCTGACACTCTGGGGATGCCAGTCCCGGGACTCACACCAGGACCCAGGCGTCTGCCCCAGGGAGCAAGCAGACAGCTTCCTGACGCCACCGCTCACAGCCACTTTACTTGGGTTAATAACTCTTCGAGGTGCATTACGTCCAACATCCTTAAATTGCTGGCGCCCTGAGACGTTAAGCCATGACCCTCGTGTGGCTCCCAGACCCCAGGTGGTCTGACAAAGATGCAAGGATGGGCCCCCAGGCTCCCAGCCCGTGGAGGGCAGCCCTGGAGAGCCCTGCCCCGCCCCCCTCCCGCCACCGCCCCCTGTGGCACCCCCAGCGCCCGCCACGCCCTCCACTGACCGTGAATGATGAGCCCGTCGCTCCTGCGCTGACAGGACAGGCGGAAGGCCTCCTCCAGCTCCATCTGGGAGGACACAGTGCAGGGGTCACCTGGGCGGCAAGACACACGGCTGAGGCCACCGCAGGCCTGAGGCCGAGGGGTCCCCACGACCCACGGGCGCTCCCCCAGAGCGGAGGGAGCCGGGCCCCACGTCAGCACAGTCCCCGCCGGGCAGGGAGGCGGCCACGTTTCCACCCCCACAGAGGCAGCCCCTCGGATGCAGATGGAGAGAGAGAACTCGGCCCCCCTACCTTCGCTGTCCACCCACTTGAGGGTGAGCGGCTGGGCCTGGGGGAGGCTGCACATCTCCCTCACTTCCGCGCACAGCTCCTCGAAGGTGGTGGCGGCGTCCAGGCTGGTGACCAGGATGTCCCTGGGCCAGAGGATGCGGAGACGTCACCAGGGTGGACACGCACATCAAGTGTAAGGCAGATGACCGGTTAACCAGATCACCGACTAAATAAATGGAACTGCCCCAGAACCACTGACCACGCATGTTACATTAGCACCACCAAGGCCCCCTGCACCAAGGGACAAGCTGTCCTGGAGCCGGGTGTCCCCAGGGGGTGCCCGCGGGAAGGATGGGAGGGGTGGGGGGACGGGAGGGCCCCTAGTGGGCGTGGGGCAAGCAGTGGCTCAGGCACCAGGTTCGATGGACAGCGCAGTGACCAGGGCCCTGGAGGACCGTCCGCCGCCTCCTGCACAATTATTTTTGAAAAGCCGAGTCGCAGAGGGCCACCGCCTTTCATCTCTTCCTCCAGAAATGGGGCGCTGACGCGGGAGGCTGCAGGCGGCTTGGGGATTCTGGGTCACCTCTGGGCTGGCCT